TGAAACTGGATCCCTTCCTTACACCTTATACAAAAATTAATTCAAGATGGATTAAAGACTTAAATGTGAGACCTAAAATCATAAAAACCCTAGAAGAAAACCTAGGCAATACCATTCAAGACATAGGTATGGGCAAGGACTTCATGACTAAAACACCAAAAGCAATGGCAACAAAAGCCAAAATTGACAAATGGGATCTAATCAAACTAAAGAGCTTCTGCACAGCAAAAGAAACTACCATCAAAGTGAACAGGCAACCTACAGAATGGGAGAAAATGTTTACAATCTACCCATCTGACAAAGGGCTAATATCCAGAATCTACAAAGAACTTAAACAAATTTACAAGAAAAAATCAAACAAACCCATCATAAAGTGGGCAAAGAATATGAACAGACACTTCTGAAAAGAAGACATTTATGCAGCCAACAGACACATGAAAAAATGCTCATCATCACTGGCCATCAGAGAAATGCAAATCAAAACCACAATGAGATGCCATCTCATTGTTAGTATGGCAATCATTAAAAAGTCAGGAAACAACAGGTGCTGGAGAGGATGTGGAGAAATACGAATGCTTTTACACTGTTGGTGGGACTGTAAACTAGTTCAACCATTGTGGAAGACAGTGTAGTGATTCCTCAAGGATCTAGAACTAGAAATACCATTTGACCCAGCCATCCCATTACTAGGTATATACCAAAGGGATTATAAATCATGCTATAAAGACACATGCACACATATGTTTATTGTGGCATTATTCACAATAGCAAAGACTTGGAACCAACCCAAATGTCCATCAATGACAGATTGGATTAAGAAAATGTGGCACATATACACCATGGAATACTATGCAACCATTAAAAAGGATGAGTTCATGTCCTTTGTAGGGACATGGATGAAGCTGGAAACCATCATTCTCAGAAAACTATTGCAAGGACAGAAAACCAAACACCGCATTTTCTCACTCATAGATGGGAATTGAACAATGAGAACACTTGGACATAGGGTGGGGAACATCACACACCAGGGCCTGTCGTGGGGTGGGGAGAGCGGGGAAAGACAGCATTAGGAGACATACCTAATGTAAATGATTAATTACTGGGTGCAGCACACTGACATGACACATGTATACATATGTAACAAACCTGCAGGTTGTGCACATGTACCCTAGAATTTAAAGTATAATTTGAAAAAATTAAAATAAATAAATAAATGCAAGTGGAACACTGTCAAAAAAAAGAAAAAAATTGGATAAATTAGGCTTCATCAGAAAGTTAAAATTTCTCCACTAAGACAATGAACAGGTAAGCCACAAACTGAGAGAAAAATATGTGAAAAATATGTGTTTGATAAAGGACTGCTGTCACAAGATATGTAAAGAACTACAAACTGGTAATAAAAGCCCCTTTGCCTGCCAAAAAAAAAAAAAAAAAAAAAAATGGGTAAAGGATTTGAAGAGATACTTCTCAGAGTAAGATACATAAATGGACAATCAGTACATTAAAAAGTGCTCAACAGTATCAGTCATCAGAGAAATACACACTCAAACTGTTATCAGAAAATATCCACTAGAATGGCTAAAAGTGAAAATGACAATGCCAAATGTTGATGAAGCTGTGGAGCAACTGAAACTCTAATACACTGTTGGTGGAAGTATAAAATGGTACAACCTCTTTGGGAAAAAAGTCTTACTGTGTCTTTAAAAACCAAACACGTGCCTAACTCTATGACCGAACAATTTCATTCACTGCCATCTACCTAAGAAAATTGAAAGCATTTATCCTTACAAACTTGTACAATAATATTCACAGCAGGTTTATTCACAATACCTCACAAACTGGTGACAGTCCAGATATTCACCAACATGAGAATGCATAAACAGATATGTTCATGCAAGTCTGTTCTTTCTTTATGTAGAAGCACTTTTAAATAGTTGAAGACTGATATTTCATAGTCTCTTCTCTTTAATGGTCAAACACCTCAAGTTCATCCCAGCAGTTATTACAAGACATGTTTTTCAGTTCCTTCACACACCTGCCCCCTCTCCCATTACTCTCCTTTAGACATGCTCCACTGTGTCAATGTCCATTCTACAGGATGATGCCCAATACTAAAAGAAGTTCCTTATCAGTCACATCATAATATTGGCTCCTAAGAAATTCACAGGCAAATAAAAATCTCAAAATCATTTAAATGTATGGTATTATTAATCTATATTTTCCTCATTATCAATCATACCAACTGCACTACTGGCCTGCAATTCTTCATAATGTATTTTAAAAAACAGCTGAGCATAGTGGTGTGCCCGTAGTCCCAGCTACTTGGGAGGATGAGGCAGAGAGATGGCTTGAGGTCAGGAGATCAAGGCCGCAGTGCACTATGATCATGCCTGTGAACAGCTGCTGCACTCCAGCCTGGGCAACACAGAAAATCTAGAAACTCTAGAAAGTTAACTTGAATTAATATTAAACTTGCTAATCTAGTAAGAACCCAATCTTAATCAGCCCAGTTCCTTATATGGTTAGTGCTCAAGAAAATAAAATAAAATGCACTGTGTATTATCCCTACATCTTGCATTTCCAATTCTAATCCACTGTACATGGCACTACCATCTGGATCTTAAAACACCCTTTTGAACTCCTCACCCTTCAGCCAAGAAACCATCAACCATCCATTCCTTGTTAACTCTAGCAGTCTAAGACTCTATACAATCTGAGCCTTAATTTTCTAATCCAAATGCCTACTATTCCTCTTTAATGAACCTTAATTCTTGAATATTTTAAACAGCGTTGGGTTTTTCCCCTTGTAAAATGGTACTTATGCTGTCTTTGAGTCCTAGAGTATTATCCTAACTTCTACCTTATCAAAGTCCTATTTTTCCTTTAACCTCAGCTTTCTCTCTAAAGTCTTTGACTGCAACGAGAGGATTTTTGTTTTGTTTTCTTTTAAACTTCTGTACTTTCTGTCTGAGTCACTCATTTGGAGACTAGTATATGCCATCTTAAACTGTTTGTTTGTTCAATTATTTGCTTATTTGTTTTACAAAATGTCCTGTCTCCCTGAACACAGATCATCTCAGTCTCCAGAGCCCCACTTTGGACTCAATTTGGTATTGTATTTGATGTACAGGCCCTTAATGTTGCCTGCTGATTTTGTCAGGTGATAAAGGGCAGGAAGGAAGACTTCCAGTCTCTGAATATTCATCTTGTATCAGTCACAGGAGAGGAGGGGGGTGTCTGCCAGCCAGAAAAAAGTTTGAGGCTTATACTAACGTATTTTGTCAGAAGGCTCTCTGACACTCATGCTCCCACCTCCCAGAGAGCCCAGGAAATCCAGTACATATAGGATATTCCTCTCAACTGCTGGGTAGCTAGGAACAGCGGCTGTGGTTGCTGAGCAGTTGCCCAGGGCAGCTTGGCCACCCTGGAGAACCAAGAAAAAAGGGGAAATAAAGAGTTTTCCTAGGCATGCAAGCAATCACTTGAATGTTAAAAGAAAACTAGACTTGTTGTGTTCACAGTAAATTTCCTCAATTAGAAATGTTATAACAAATTTGTCTGATGTTAATGGAAAGCATACTTATACACATATTCATAAAGTGAACATGCATCAAAGACATTTTAAAGGGTGTTCTTTGACATCATAATTTGGGTTTGTAACATAAAGAAAACAAATAGTGATTAATCAACTAAGTAAGCTTTAGGGACTTTTGTATGTTGACTGATAATGATGTATGACCTTTTCTAAGAAAAAAATGGATTTTTAATGGGTATAAACATTTTAATTTCTATTTAGTTTCCAAGCCAATTTGATTTTCCAAGCAGCACAAGAAAATGTTAAATTGTCCTTTTGTTTGTAATAAGATGCTATACAGGCATATATCTTAACATATTTTCTAAGTATCCTAGAGCAGAGAAACTTAAACCTATGGCCCATAGGGTTCACAGATTCCTTGGATCCACAGAATGGCTTCAGAATGTCTCTAAACAGCCTGAAACTGTAGGCAAAATTTGTGAATGTGCTTAGTAAAAGGGTTTATAGTTTTCATCAAATTCTCAAAGGGGTCTGTGACCTAAAAAAGATTACAACTACTTCTTAGAGATGATTTGAACCACTATCCTTGCCTACAGATATTAACAAGGAGTAGAAATGTGTAATTAAGGTATATACAGAGCTTAACCATTTTCAGGTTATACATTTCAACCAACTTGATCCAAAACTTACTTTACAACTCTACATGTAGATACGAACTTAACGTTCTCACTGTCTTATCTATGGATATTCGATTGAATTATGTGAAACTGCTGTTTTTGTTAGTGAAAAGGGTCAAATATTGGCAAATATATTCAACACACTGCAATACATTTCTGGTTTTAAGGTAGATGCTGTTTACAGAGGATATTCTATATACTAAAAGTGGTGCACAGTTATTATAAAGAGCCTTAAAATTGGCAAGAAAACTTTAGTTCCCATAGCAAAAGCAGATCAGAAAAGAACATAATTTTCACATAGTAGGGGCAATCTAAAAACTCAAGATGAATGAAGACAAGCTTCTTTAAATCATGTTTAGAGATGAATCAATAATTGAAATGGAAAGTTATCAATAAATGCCAGGAATTATTATGTGAATAATAATGATAACACTCTTATCTTTTGAGGCACAAAGAAATAAATGACTTTTCCAACATTACTTAAACCAGTTTTTCATCTCCCATAAAAATAAGAAATGCCTTGCAACCATCCCTTTCATTGAAGGGCTAGGAAAGCTAAGTGAAGTAAGAAACAGGTGAAAAAAATCATTGTCTTACATGGACTGTCAGGGCCTGGCACATAGTAGGTGCTCAATTAAATATTTATTGGAATGTCTAATGTATTAAGATTCTTTGACTGAAGGCTATACATTCCTGCATAATCTTTTTAAAAGAAACACTAATGTAAATACCATATATGTGACAAAATTCACAAATGTGTTAAAGGCAGATTTTTTTTTTGTACTTACCTCAGCAGAGTTGTGATACTGAATGAAGGTTGCAGAAATGGCATGACTGAAGGGGTCCCCTGCCTTAGTTACCATGTCTTGCCTCACAAGCAGAGCCAGATCCACTAACTAGAAGACCAGAAGAATGAAATAAAGTCACATAGCTAGTAATAATCATGAATGCCACTGAAGTGGCAAACCTAAAAGCAATACATTGTGAATGTTACTGATAATCCTGCTTGCCTAAAAATCTATATTGTAGACATGAGCACACACTTTAATTGACTGGTGAATGGACCTAGTCATGATATATTCTGACCTTTTAGGAGAGTAGTTCTCAAAATTTATTTCATAATCACTAGTGCAGATTTCTGGGCTTTAAGTCCAGAGATTCTGATTCAGTAGGTCTGTTTTAAGCATACAGTCTAGGAATTTGCTTTATTTATTTTATTTTATTTTTGAAATGGAGTTTCGCTCTTGTTGCCCAGGCTGGAGTGCAATGGCACGACCTCAGCTCACTGCAACCTCCGCCTCCTAGGTTCAAATGATTCTCCTGCCTCAGCCTCCCTGAGTAGCTGGGACTATAGGCGCCCGCCACCATGCCTGGCTAACTTTTTTTTGTGTTATTAGCAGGATGTGGTTTCACCATGTTGGCCTGGCTGGTCTTGAACTCCAGACCTCAGGTGATCTACCTGCCTCGGCCTCCCAAAGTGTTGGGATTACAGGCATGAGCCACCGTGCCTGGCCAGAATTTGCATTTTAAACAAGAACCAAGGAGATGCTGATGCTTGTGGTCAAAAGACCACATCTTGAGAAAGTCTTTTAGAGGGCGAGATTCCAGACCCAGAATTTGGTGAGTACTCTTAAGATCTCACATACGTAGAAAGGATTTTTTCAAAGTTCAAAAATAAACTCTAAACAAGGCAGATGTGGACTTAGAGTTCAATGTCAAGAAAAAGTATGCAGAGATTCCATTTCTCATTAGGATAAAGGTGCAAGAAACTGTCTTTCTTATCTTAACACCCACTTGAATTGAGGATGCAGATACACATAACTGAACTAAATTTTAGTAAATGATGTAAATGTCACAGGAGAGAATTCATGGCTGTTATTCCGGGTAGAGCAGCAGGCAGAAGAAGAATTGATCATGGGCAGAGATAAGGAAAAAACAGCCAGTGTGGCCTGATATGACAGATTAGAATTCTTACCTGTGCCACAGTTTCATACGCTAAATATGCTAAGATTTCCATTGCGACAACATTGGGTTTTATCTCCATACTGCTGCAGTCCAACCAGTCTCGAAATTTGGAAGCTTTTTTGGCTGGTCATGTAAAAAAAACAAGTGTAGAAATTTTAATTTTTAAAGTGTTTTAATACTGCACATTACTATCACAAAATGAAAAATATGTATACTCAGAATTGTACACAAAAAATAATGCACATAAAATGCAACGTGTTCCAGTTTTTATTAATATCTAGATATTCTGGCCCCAAGAAATTCAAGTTTTAACTTTCAATTATAAGGCAACATAATGGTTGTTTTCAACAACTCTCTTATGTATTTGGATTTTTTATTTTATACCTATGCAATATGACATAGTATATTAAACCATTTAATGTTTAATACTTCTCACACTGTCAGATTTACCATTGGCTACAGCTTATGTTATAACAGTCAGAAGATGTTGTCTGATGTAACCTTAATTTACTCATACAGAAAGAAAATCCTGCAAGAAAGAACCTGTGATGAAAAAAGAAACATACAGAAATTATTGCTAATACTTTTCAAAAATATTGTCTATTCTCTCAGAGGAAAATGGCACATAGGAGGCAGGATTAACTTGCAGCTCCCACTTGGATGGATAGAGCAGCATGTGGAGACCCACACCGTGAACTCTGGCTCCAAGAACTACTGCAGGAATATACCAGAAAAGGCTAGAGCCACAGACCCCTTGAAGGAGGTGGATCACCGCTGCAGGCTCTGTGGGACGCAGAGGAACTGTGAGTAGGCTTGCTTTCTCACCTAGGAAGCCAGTAGCCTGGGGAAAGTTCTCAGCCTTGCTCACCAGCTGCCTGGAAATAAACTCGGTGCTGTTACAGGAAGGGGGCATGGTGGGAGTGAGACCGGGCTTTCGCTCTGTGGGCTCCATGGGAGCTGGGTGAGGCCTGTGGCTGCCGGCTTTCCCCCACTTCCCTGGCGACCTGCGTGGGGCAACAGAGGCAGCCATGATGCCCCTGGGGACATAACTCCCTTGGTCTAGAAGCCACACCCTCATCCCCCACAGCGGCCGCAGCAAGTCCCGCCCAAGAAGAGTTTGAGCTCAGACATGCCTAACCCTGCCTCCGCCACATGGCAACCCAAACATCGTATGTTCTCACAAATGGGAGCTAAGCTATGAGAACGCAAAGGCATAAGAATGATACAATGGTATTTGGGGACTCAGGGGAAAGGGTGGGAGGGGAGTGAGGGATAAAAGACTGCACATTGGGTATAGTGTGCACACTGCTCGGGTGATGGGTGCACCAAAATCTCAGAAATCACTACTAAAGATTCATGTAACTCAACACCACCGGTTCCCCCCAAAAAACCTACTGAAATAAATCCGTTTAAAAAAAGTGTCTAGGCCGGGTGCAGTAGCTCACGCCTGTAATCCCAGTACTTTGGGCGGCCGAGGCGGGCGGATCACAAGGTCAAGAGATCGAGACCATCCTGGCCAACATGGTGAAACCCCATCTCTACTAAAAATACAAAAAATTAGCTGGGCGTGGTGGCAGGCGTCTGTAGTCCCAGCTACTCATGAGGCTGAGTCAGGAGAATCGCTTGAAACCGGAAAGCGGAGGTTGCAGAGCTCCGAGATGGGGCCACTGCCCAAGAGCGAAACTCTGTCCGCCCCGCCCCCCCCCAAAAAAGTGTCTATTACTAGAATGGCTCAAAGGTGTTGTAAATTTAAAGTTAAATAAAATAAACTGACATCTGGTCTAATCTAAGCCTGTGGTTACATTTTTTCTGATTATGAAGATGTCTAAATTCTTAATCCTGACTCTCAAAACCATCGAGACTGATTCCAAGCAGCCTTTGTGATATTTCCCTATTAAACCATCACCTGTCCTTGAATCTTTTTCTCTGTGTGTCTACTCCTACTCTTTTCCTTCCAGGGGATGCTCTCCCATCACTCTTCTTCATTCCCATGAATCTTGATCATACAGGCCAAAGGTGTACTTCCCCACTCTAGCCATTTATTGAACACTGATACCATCAGACATTCTTTCACAAATGCTTATAATTTCTTAAGCCATATTACAAATTTTTGTGGGAGAAGACCATGCCTTATGTCTCTGCATGTGTAATAGTACCAAGCATATACAGAACCAAGCACGTATATAACCTTTAGTTAAATATCTCTACACTGCCACAGTGCTAAGCAGAGTCTAATTTGATATAGGCACTTCATTAGACATTATTCATCTAACTAGTAACCTAGAGGGAAAGACTGATAGTGAAGATTTTATGAAATCTATAAGATTTTCTTTATAATCCACTGATTATTCTTTTGATTAATCTGGCCCCACAGGTCTATAAAACACTTAACAGTAACTCAAAGCACGATATTGTGATCCTTCTATATAGAATCTTCAAGGATTCCACATACAGAAGAGTTCTCTTTTAAATAAATCATAGAAAACATTAAGTCCTGCTATCGAAGCATATACCCAAAGCTGTCAAATATGGCAGAATTATGATAATCCTCCTTAAAGCTATCTCCCCAAAGTAACAAATCTTCCAAATACTTTCTGACATGCAACATTCCATCTAACTAGTATGCTGCAATAGCTCACAAACACTTGTTTAACATCTGTGGAATACTTCTGAAGTTAAAGTTAACAGGCAGCAATTTGGCAAGATCAATGAGATGTACATTATTCACTTATCTCCTTGACAGATCTTTAGGACAGAAACAGATACTTTGGAACTGTGCTCTAAACATTTGATTTTAAAAGTGAAGGAAAGGATCATTATTAATATTCAGTTGGATCTATCCACATAAGCAACAGAATTAGCTTCCTTGCTAGATTGTAACCATTGAGAATGCAGGGACAAGGACCATATATCTCCAACTGTATCCCTAGCACCTAGAATACTGCCTGGCATTAGCAGACTCACAAGAAATATTTCCAGAAGAAATGAATAAATGAATGAATAAAGTATTTTTTAAACAAAAGAGTAGGGTCCAAACTTTTCTGTTCATCAAAAGACATGCATAGAAGTCCCAAAAACCACTTGGGTTATTGCCATTCCACCAAGAGGTGGAGATTCCTTGAGAGCTAATTCCTTCCCTGTCACCTGGAGAAGGATGGCTTTAGAGCCTGACGCTTCCAAGGTATTGTTGGAGGCACAGATACCTCTAGTTAAGACAGTTTGCTTTCATCAAGAGGTGAGAGGGGCCTGAGAATAAACAAGTTCCTTCTCCTTCGCCCCTCTCCCCAACGTATCAGGAGAAAGGATAACCTGGAAACTGACTAACAATTTAAATAGAATCCTGAGCAATGGTCAAAAGTTCCTAGGATTATTAGCTTTGTAATACTACCTGGATTTTCAGCCTGTGCTGTGCTGAACTTAAAAAACAACTTTACATGATAATTTCATATGGAAATTTAGGGTTAATCTCACATACTTTTTATCTTTCTTGTCAATGATCACTAATAAAATTTAAGTTTCTTGCAATATTCCATTCTCTCATGCCTACATACTATTTGGTGATTTCTATCCCATCCCTTCCCAACAGTCTTTCCATTCCCAGTCCTTTCCTTAGGGTCCTCTGGAATGCTTAGTCCACTCAGAAGAAGCTACTCTGCAATTTCAACCTAATTCAAAATAGCCTTCTTCAGAGGGCATGGTTTTCCCTGGAACCTTCCCTAGCAGGAGTTCCTTATTCCTTTCCTTTATACATATTTATGGGCAACTACTTTGGCCAGTGTGCTCATTTCCCCATATAAGGGGGGACCTGGAGTCAATGTCTTCATTCTCTTAGTTTCTTCCACAGGAAAAATACATAACAAGCAGACTGACAGCAAACTTCTACCAACAACAGGGGCCAAAAGACAAGGGAATCATGTTTTAACAAGTAACGATCAGCTTACCATTTCCTACCCAACTAAACAATCATTTAAGTATGAGGGCAAAATAAAGCCATTTAAGATAAAAAACGGTGTTTTAAGCATGTACAGAGCTGTAGGAAAAAATGACATTAGGCCAAGAAGCAAAGTTTAAATACTTATAAATGCTTTTTTTTTTTTTTGAGACAGAGTCTCGCCCTGTCCCCCAGGCTGACAGTGCAATGGCGCGATCTTGGCTCACTGCAACCTCTGCCTCCCAGGTTCTAGTGACTCTCCTGCCTCAGCTTCCCAAGTAGCTGGGATTATAGGCGTCCACCACCACACCTGGCTAGTTTTTTTTTTTTTTGTATTTTTGTATTTTTAGTAGAGACAGGGTTTTACCATGTTGGTCAGGCTGGTCTCGAACTCCTGACCTTAGGTGATCCACCTGCCTCGGCCTCCCAAAGTGCTAGGATTACAGGCGTGAGCCACCATGCCCAGCCAAATACTTACCAATTTTAAAAACTTTAAGTCATGGATGTCTATCAAAAAAAGATAGCAACTGAAATAGTACAAAGAGAATATAGGACTTACAAACTAGCAGAAGAAAAAGAAATGAAGAAAACCCAATCGATCTAATACAACATAAAAAAGGAGGAGAAAAAGCAAATTAAAAAGCACAGTAAATTTAAAACACAAGACAGCATATACAGTATCAGTAATTAAATCCATATAAATTAATCAATTAAAATACACAGAGCCTCTCTGATTACTAAGAAAATTGAGAGAAAATCAAATATAAAATAAAAAGTTGAAAGTAAAGGACTGGAAAATAATTTACCAATTATACATTTTAATTATAAATTATAAATTATAATTTAAATTATTATAATTATTCTTTAATTATAATTATGAGCTTTGTGTGTCAATATTAATATCAGATTTTAAAAGACTTTAAGAGAAATAACTCTCTGACTTATATACATATAAAAACAAAAGACTGAATTGTGAATTAGATTAGTGTGCTCATGCTACAGCTTACCCTCAGCCTATAAAGTTACAGACTCATTATTCTAAAATATACCAGTAATTCCAGGGATGGCTATGATCAAATACTTAAGAAGATACATATGGCAGGACCACAATTCCTGTATCTTGGTAATTTGTTAGAAGGAGAAGAATGAAAAGAGTATAACACTCTGATGAGTGCAGGAATAGCTTCCGAATTTGCTGACCCACATGGATTAAAGCATTCTCAACCACAGTACTTTGTCATATAAAACAGATTTCCCCACCAAGGTTTCATAATAAAGCAGCTATGGGCACCATATATAAGTAGTTTTAAATGACCAAATCCTTCCACTCTAAAGACAAGAAAATTAGACACAATATACTGTTTATACTATAGTTATTTTATATAGGAAGGGAAAATATTATTTTTAAATCTACTATAGTTTATTATTGAGTTAAAAATAAAACATGGACCGGGTATGGTGGCTCACCTGAGGTCAGGAGTTCAAGACCAGTCTGGCCAACATAGTGAAATCCCGTCTCTATTAAAAATACAAAAATTAAATGGGCGTGGTGGTGCACGTCTGTAGTCCCAGCTACTTGGGAGACTGAGGCAAGGAGAATCACTTGAACCCAGAAGGAAGAGGCTGCAGTGAGCCGAGATTGCACCACCGCACTATAGACTGGGCAACACAGTGAGATTCCATCTCAAAAAACAAACAAACAAACAAAAACAAGAACAAAACAAACAAAAACAAACAAACGAAAAAACATGAAGTAACTGAAAATCTGATTTTCAAAGAGAAGGCATACTAGGATACTTTAAGACTATGAGTTTTAGTGTGAAAGTAGTATGTCTGTTCCTTTAAGTGAATTAAATTTAAAATATAATTTAAAAAAATAGTTCAATTGCACTAAATGTTACTTTATAAACTGGAGGTTGATACTTATAAAGACTTGAATGCCATTTTTAAACCTAAAAATTACAATACAAAACCTTTCATTTGCTGAAATTGCCATGATCTGAAGTGCCATTTACTTAATGCTTCACAGATGTATGATGCCAAGTTGTTAGTCAAATTGGAAAGTATATTTAGTCAGAAAAAAAAAATCTTCCAAAACATGTTTTCCTATATTTTACTGACATTTACATGGGATACTATGAAATGTGTCATTTATTTGCACTTTATAATCTATAAATGAAGCTCTCCCTTTCTTTTTCCAAATCAAATATGCTGTTATTGTGACCACATAATAGCTTTTCATTAGAAGACACCATTGTTTCTATAATCCCTCAGACCATGGTCATGTGCTACTTTGTCATATTTTTAACTGGACTTTTCATCACACTTTCTTCTTTGACCTTTACCCTGAGAGCCTTAGTCATAACTGAAACTTTGCTGTAAGGATGTTTTGCTACACAATCGAGCTCACTATTATGAGTCATTATACACTTTTAATAAGCTGATGTGCAGTGATGTGAAAGTACTAATTTTACCACAAGGTTACTAGTGTTACTAGAGCATGTACTAATAAATCTGGCTAACACTGAATACATACCACAGTAGGAGGTTAGACAAAAATGGAAGAGACCACTGATATGTTCCTTTGTGGTAATAGGAGTATACATAAAGGAAAAGGTTGGTATCCATAATTAATATTGGGGGCCTTTAAATGTCATGACTACTATCAGAGTCTGTTATGGATCAAATGCAATCAGAAATACTAGTGTAAATATGACTAGGAAACTAGAAATTAAAATGGAAATAATAAGAAAAATTGAATTTTTATGATTAAAAGTACTGTAAATAATTAACATAGCACTCTGTATATTACCAGCACCCTTTAAGACCTCTTAATGTTATTAATTGCAAAGCAGTAGAAGGTAGGAAAATCTTTTATAGGCTCCCCACAATGTAGAGGTTGTTTCTATAGCAGTTACAAATACACATATATTAAATCCACCAATTTCTAAGAAACAGATCCTGTCATACTTCAGTACATCTATAAGACAAATCTCTTACGCATATAATTAAGCAAAGTTAAATGGTTACTTACAGAAACTTAGTTGTCGACTTTCACAGAATTCTGCATATTGAGCTGAATCCATAATTCGAGTTTGTCTTTCTGCTCTCTGATAAAAAGACACAACATTTTTTTAAAGCAAGTAGACTATTATATATGTTTTCACAGCTTAAACTTAGAATTAACCATTTTCCTTTCCTTATTCCAGGTGAACAGGGTAGTACTACCACATAGATCATGACACATAAAATTACGATAACACTAGTTGTGAAGCTGGTGTCTTTTGGAAATAAAGTTTAAATACTACTTTCTGCTCCTTTGTTATTGAAACTAAAACTAAAGGACCTCATGTCTAAATTTTCTAACTTGTATTATCCTTTTAAAGAAAAAGAAAATGATGAGGGAATAATAAACCAAGCAGAAAAATTGTTACAAATATTACTGTCAATGTGCTTTAAAGCTGTGATGTTCAATGTTAAACAAGAATCGGCAAATGGAATCCATATATTATTCCCTTTCAGTTAGAATCTGGGGCCACAGTTGACAAATCCGTATTTTAGATTGCAAGAAAATAAAGAAAAAGGTAAACAAAATACAGATCCTTTAATCTGAGTCCAGGTATGATTCATTTGGTATCGTTTCATTTGTGGAGTTTTTGATTCAGTATAGCAGATGTTTACTGCTTCACTGTCCCACAAGAGGTAGGATAATTATAATTCATCCATAGTTTGGTGGGAAGGAATATGACCACTTCCGCTTCCTTGGTAAGGAGAGCATTTTGAAATGAGACAGGCTGGTACTTCTTGGAATGAATTTCTGCCCAGCGAAGAAAAAAAAAAATCTCAGATTTAATTTTTTTTTTTTTTTTTTCTGTTGTGGAAGAACTTTCAGCAAGTTGTCTTTACCATCGTTGTTGGAGCACATAAGTACCATTTCTTCTAATGTCTGTGGATGTTTTGTATTTTTGAAACAGAAATTATTCTTTTTTCTTTTATTTGTGTGAGTAGTCAATTCCAATGATATGTCAGTTGATGGAATGAATAATGGTGTACTAACTGGAGCTTAATAGAGAATACAGACAGGGCAGTGGGAGTTAAGGTAAAAATTACTAGTCACTACTGTGGTTCCTTCTAAGACCACTGACTGCTTTTCCCCTTCCTCATTTTCCGCCTCCCTTTTTTCTTTCCCTCCCTCTCTCGCTTCCTTCATTCCTTACCTCCCACACATCCACATACTCACAAACATACATATATGCGGGCACAAATGCAAGTTTCTCTTGGTTATTTACCCACTAGGTTCAAGTATCCTTTTTGGGCATGTACAAACATTTTAAAAAAATATATATGCATGTGTATACACATAAGGTATATATGTGTATACATACACACACACATATAAAGATAAATATATAAATTACACAACTATACACACAAATTTATCTTTTTTTATATATACACAAATACACATATATGTATATATGTATGTACATATATTCTTGTGCATGTGTCAGAAATACCATGGTCTTGGCTGGGTGTAGTGGCTCACGCCTGTAATCCCAGCACTTGGGAGGCCCAGGCAGGTGGATCACTTGAAGGCAGCAGTTTGAGACCAGCCTGGCCAACATGGCAAAACCCTGTCTCTACTAAAAATACAAAAATAAGCTGGACGTAGTGGCACGGGCCTGTAATCCCAGCTACTTGGGAAGTGCAGGCAGGAGAATTGCTTGAACCTGGGAGGTGGAGGTTGCAGTGAGCTGAGATCACGCCACTGCACTCCAGCCTGGGTGACAGAGTGAGACTCTGTCTCAAAAAACAAACGAACAAACAGACAAACAGAAAACCATGTCTCCTTAAGAGTATATTATTGGGTTAATTTTTATTTACTTGGGAGTATTTTTTGATATATAAATGCATGATCTAGTTTTAGCCCTCTTTCTAATGTATCTGACACATGACTCAATAAATGTTTCCTGATGAAAATAGGAAGCAAGAAAGGGAGAATTTATTGATGTGTTTTGAACGTTACAAAAAAGTTGCAGCTGGGCGTGGTGGCTCATGTCTATAATCCCAGCACTTTGAGAGGCTGAGGTCAGGAGATTGAGACCATCCTGGCTAACATGGTGAAACCCATCTCTACTAAAAATATAAAACATTAGCCGGGCATGGTTGCATGTGGCTGTAGTCCCAGCTACTTGGGAGGCTGAGGCAGGAGAATCGCTTGAACTCGGGAGGTAGAGGTTGCAGAGAGCCGAGATTGCGCCACTGCACTCCACCCTGGGCAACGGAGGGAGACTCCGTTTCAAAAAAAAAAAAAAAAAGCTCATGTGTTTATTTAAATAAACTCTCTAAGACTGATAATACTATAATAAATTTGTATCTATGTACGTATGCTTGTATATTATATACCTGCTTGTCTATGTCTCACTATAGCAGGAACCACTCAGGTTTGAATTTCTAGCTCCTAGGAAAATATCTGACACATGGTAAATAAGCAATAAACATTTGTTGGATGAAAAAATGCTACCATTTTATTCCACAGGGCAAATGACTATCCCCATAATGGAACTAGATCGAGAATGATTATCTAATGATTCCTACATACCATCTCTGCTACTCTCCAGCTTGGTAGCCTCCTCCACCCAATATATGGCTAGACAGAAAGGACCTGGATAACCATGGAAAAAGAATGTTCCTAAAGGGATTCTTAACACCAACTTTTTATTCCACCAAGTTGGACAACCAAGATTTGGCAGCCTCTGCATATACGCTTACATAGCTGATGTAGTGGCAATAAGTGTTTCTAGAAATGAGAGTTAGGAAAATTTATCGTCAGAGGTTAAGGTTGCCAGAATTGCCAGCTACAATATTTCAAAGATAACCATAAGCATCTGAAAGACTAAATTATTATGGCTAGCTTCATTCCTTCAGATACCCTCTCCAATGCCTATTCTCTTTTCTTCATTAAGCATCCTAGTTCTTTTTTAATTCCTCCAGCATCGAAGCAGTAAACTTTGATCTGAGGAGCCCCAAAAATCTGACCCTAGGGTATATATAAGAAGTCATTTATCCTGTGCCTAGCACACAGGAAACACTCCAAGCAAAGCAGCTGACTCAACAGCAAAGACTTACAGACAATACAAAATCATGGCTTAGAGATAGAAGGCAGCTTAAAGTTTATCTTGTTCAAACCTTTTCAATTCAAAGATAAGGAAATTGAGGCTCAGAGAAGTGATTTGTCAAAGGTTGCCTAAGTTAGAATTCAAGCCCAGGACTCCCAATTCCTAAGTCAGCCTATTTTCATTATAAAAAGCTGTCTTCAACTAATGGTAACTTTTTATTCCAATGTTTTCCTTTGGGATGCTCTAAGTTTCATATATTGTCTTACTAAAACATGTCATGTAGCCCCTACAATTAACATGCTCAAACTATTCATAAGAAAAAGAAATTAGCGAGACCCTGGGTCAGCAAATAATGTACAACCTGGGGGTAATCTAATGCAGAGTGCAGAAACTGTAGTGTATCTGATAGTGCAAGCACATCACAGGTGTGTAGAGATACTGCTTCCATTCACTCTCTGGATGCTGAACAAGGCTGAGGCAGAACTCCTAGGCTGGTATCTGCTACCAGCTGCCTTGTCCATTTACCTTGGTGGGTGATAAAAATATTATCATTTTCTATGTAAGCTATGATGTGAGAAAGACTGGAAGCACTGTACTAATACTAATGTCCTCGAATATTACATGATACAACACATGAATGCTATTCACAGCATGGTCAAGGGAGTTCATGAAATCAGAGAATCTTTGAGCTATATATGCACTGACTTGGATTTAAGGATGATGAAGATGATTTGGATATGCTTATCACCTAATTTTTGTTTATTCCTCTCTCTTCCCCCGAATTGTTTAAAAACAAAACAAAAAAAGGAACAAATTTTGGCTGAAGATGAAGATGATTTGGATATGCTTATCGTCTAATTTCTGTTTATTCCTCTCTTCCCCCTGAATTGTTTCAAAAATACAAAAAAAAAGGAAGAAATTTTGGCCATATGATCCAAATAATTCAACATCTGAGTATTATATTTTCTCCTGTCCTTCCACTATCATCTTAAATACTGAGAAAGGGAGTAAATATCTAACTTTCATGAACGGTATGTTCTCTAAATACAGGAACTGTGCTGCTCTTCTACAGTGCTGAGGCAATGCTGGGCTTGGATCTGCCTGGGCCTTACTAGCTGAAACAAGGGACAACAAATGGATGGACTGAGACAAAAGAAATGCATTTAAGTACGTGTTGAATGGCCTAAGACCAGAAACGGTAAGAATTAGGATCAAATTGTAATCCAATTTTACAAATCCCAGAGAGATGAGGCAGTTTTTAAGACAAAAATCCATTAAAAAAAATCAACACAGTGGTCAAATATTAAATAAGTGTGGCTCTTATTTACTGTGGTATCCTAATTCTACCTTCTTGTGTGCCTCTATTCAGATCACCCATTCTGATCCATACTAAAGTATACATTGGCAGTCCTTTTCTACTCCTTGAAGAAATCTGTGGAGAAAGATTCAAGGGGACAATATCATAAGCCTAGTAAAACATCATGATCAGAATAATGCTCACTCTTTGAGATGGTTTTATTTTTAAAATGAACATAATTATTTTTAATTTTTATTTTTAAAATAAGCTAATAAAACTGCTTACTCTTTGAGATGGTTTTATAAAATAAAATTTATAAAATGTTTATATTTATATACATATTTAAAATATTTATAAAATAAAACCATCTCAATAAAGAGTAAGCAGTTTTATTAGTTTCATTTTACAAATGAAGACACTGACTTAGAGAACTTAAAGGAAAACTTTAAAAGTATACAGCTAATAAAGAGGCAAAACTAGAAGTAAAACTTGGGTCCTACCTACTCTAAGGTACATAAAGTTTCTCAGAAAAGACTTACTATTCTAGATCATATTAATTGTAATGAAGGTTGTACTCCCTTTAGGCTCTAGTTTCTTTTGAACTAAATATTACAATGCAAACTTAATTTTAAAAGAGTTACTTTGGCTAGTCCGTATAGTCATTAAACTAGAATAAAAAATACATCATATCATTGTCAAAGGCACTGAAAACACAAATCTCTGAAATAAAAGTCACTGAATAATCACAGATGATTTATCATGGCTTTTATTCATACTGAACATTCTCAAATTACACAATGCTCTCCTATCTCAGACTGCCACATGAATGTAAGGTCATCTTTGGATTAGTCATACTCTTGTATCTGCAAGTCCAGTTTGTCTTCTGCTTAATCTGTCAATTCCACCCACTCCCTGGTTTCTTTAGGTGTCAACAACAGCATTCTTGAACATTCATAAAATATGCAACAAACATACTTAAGAGGATTTTCAGAAATTACATCTTACTAGTATTACAATATACCTAAGTATTATAATACAGGAGCAAACATGGAGAAACTACTTGTGAAAGAATTATTCCTAAAGTTTCCCAAATAGTCAACAGTATTTTAAAATTTAATTGAAATAGCTTTTTAAAAAGGTAAAACAGAATAGCTGGTGACTAGTTGCTCTTCTCACTACCAGAAAGTTACAGCTTTTTCTTGTTATTGTAAAACATTCAGAGGAGGCAGACTTTTAGGCTAGATGAACTCACTTTCTGTGTCCTACTTAAATGAAAACAGAAATGCTAATATCCCTACAGATACAGTGCCTAGTATAATTTGTTTGTTCAATATCGTGAATACAACAAACTCTTGGTACATATTTGTTAATCTGAATTTTCAGTGAAAAGTTTTTACTTCAACTGATGTGAAGTTGATTATGTCTTTGAAAAATACTTTCTGTGCGGACAATCATCATTTGCCCTACCTGTACCACTTTGAGGTGTGAGGCTGGATTACTTGTGCAGCATACTGTTCCATTTAAATTCTGTGTGCTTTCACTGAAGCATTTTTAAAGGTTATGGAAGCTATGTGCTGGCATATCTCTTGGCAGCTTCTCAAGGCACATGGCATTTAACTTTCTTCAGCAACACAAAAACACAGAACATAACTTTCAAACCAAGATGAGAGTATCTGCTCTCACTTCTACTTCAAGTTTTTTTTAAATTTCTTTTTTGAGACAGGGTATTGCTTTGTCACTCAGGCTGGTGTGCAGTGACACCATCATGGCTGACTTCAGCCTCCACCTCCCCAGTTTAAGTGAGCCTCCTGCCTCAGCCTCCTGGGTAGCTGGGACTACAGGTGTGTACCATCAGGCCTGGCGAGTTTTTTATTCTTATTTTTACAGAGATGAGATCTCTATAAAATTGCCCAGGCTGGTCTTGAATTCCTGGCCTCAAGTGATCCTCCCACCTTGGCCTCCCAAAGTGCTGGGATTACAGGCATGAGCCACTGCACCTGGCCAAAAAAATTGTTTTTAAATCTTATTCTGATTACTCCTAAAAGTCTTACAATTGAAATGCAGAGTGCTTTTTGCATGGAAAAGGCAAAATGCTTTTACCAAAACAGTAATCTACCAACAATCTCATGTTCAACAGGCACTGGTTGCTGAACTTGAAAACTTCAAATGGAGTGGTTGGCAGCAGCATTCAGCAATGAGGCAATGTGTAAATTATGAAATGTATATGCATGTTTATATATGTATAATGTGGTCCGCTTGCAGAAGGATAATATTAACAAGTCAGTAAATACCATAGAATGCCGAAGAAACCATATCTCCAACTCACCGTAGGTAAGGAAGCTGAGGTCGGTCCAGAAAGGTTAAAGGATTTACTGGGACGGTTGCAGAGGCAATCCAGTACCCCAGTGAGTGCTCATTCAGCTTGCTGGGTGAGTTTGTAATTTGGTAGACTCCTTTCCCAAAAGCCAAGTAAGCCTCCCTCAAAACACATGGTAAAGTACCCTTTCTTTTTACTCCACTGCAAAAGTCATCATTTTGGGCCTAGGGTATTGCAACGGCTTCCTAGCTTTCACAGACCTTTCCTCTCCCAACCTATCCTGCATACTAGTATTTTAAATAAAAACATGGAGAAAAGACCCTTGTACATTGCAAGACTCACTGCAGTAGGCTCTCCTATATCCCCACACCACTTTCTTTTCTCTGATTCAAAAACAAATGGCTCTAAACTAATCACTGCATTAAATTTAAGCTCAACTGTCTGACTTCTAAATACAGACATAATCTGGGCCATTCTACCTCAGCACACATTGTTCTCCCTAAAACCAAATTTATTCTTTGTTTTTAGTTAAGTCACCCTTTGTCACATGTGCCATGTACTGCTGCCACCCTGCCACTCCCCCACTACTGTGCTGCTCACCCCTCCCCATCTCCATGGTAATTTAAATCATTCCCTTTCCTCAAGGTCTTGCATAGGTCCCACTTCCTCTGGGAAGTTTGTGCAGTTTACAGTGATTTCTCTCTTCTAAAATTATTTGTTCTTCTAGATAGTATTGTACCCCTTCCTGAACTTTTCTATGTGAGCTACTTTTGTCTCTCCTCAAAGAGTAGCTGCGGGAATGTATTAATGGAAAAATCAAGTTCATACTAGAATGTATGTACTTTAATTTCATTTATGTTTGAACACACACACACATCCAAATACACGGAAAAAGTCTGGAAGCAAATATATTATACTTTTGATAGTATTTATCTCTGGAGGTGAAATTATAGGTAACTTTAACTTTTCAGTTACACATTTCAATAATTTTTTTTTTTTTACAGTGAATTACAAACAGAAAAAGAGTTTCAAAAGTAAAGAAATCTTCTTTCCTCTTGAGCTAATTTTGCTTGACTTACAGGAAGTCATTAACTGTGCACACATAAAAATAATCAAAGCACTTACCCAAGGGGCAGAAAATCACAGAGAAACAGCAAAGGCTTGAATATATGCTTTTAGAAAAAAAAATCAAAAAACAAAAACACACATACATACAGAGAAAATCACAGAGAAACAGCAAAGGCTTGAATATACGCTTTTAGAAAAAAAAAAAATCAAAAAACAGAAACACACATACACACACAAAGGAGAATGTCATGCAATAATATTTAAGGGACCAACTCAGAATACTGATTGATGCAGTAGAAACCAAAAGTTCACTTAGGTTTGACCTGTAATTTTCACTGAATTATATCGACTTGAATAGAAATGCAGTATATTTTCTATATCATAGCCTTAAAAAATAGGTTTCCAGTGGTGCTAATTTGTTTCCCCAGAGTGGCATGCATAATATACCAATTTTAGGTGTCCAAGGTACTAAGAATGTCTTACAGTAATTATATGAAGTTTCCTAAAGAGCTGTAGACCCTAGAATATTCAAAGTATTTAAAAGAAATTTTGTGCTGAAAGTGAGTAATCCTCAGCCAGTACAAAGCATCAGTGATTAAGAAACACACAAAAAGATATTTGTGCTACTACGACATAATAGAGTTGTTTCAAAATATTGAATTCAGTTTTTTTGATTTATTCTATGGGTCTAAATATATTAATTAATGTCAACATAGGACCTTTACCTTTCTAATACATTTTAAACCACCAAGAGTGGGCATTTATTTGTTATATAATGAAAAATATAGTCATTAAAATCAAAGTAATAGATTTAAAAATGTTTTAATGCCCATTAAAAATTTTTAATCTAAATGTATTAAGCCAGTAATGGGGAAAAACCATACGTAATAAAATATTTCCCGTCTTGGGATAAAATATGTGCTAAGAAAAGTATCATTTTTAAAATAACCTAGTGCCATGCAACCTAATTCCCTGTCAAGTTGTAAATCCCAGTGTTTAGTGTTAGTACCAATTTTTGCTAGTGTTTCCCTGAAGTTGTAAATATGCTCTGGAATAACTCAGTTGGCAAATAACATAAAAAGCCATGTGAGTTTCTGCCCAAACTATTTCTTTTAAGTAATGGAACACTGACTTTGACTTTTTGTTTTCCTGATTAAGGATGTCACAATCCCCCCTCACCTTTTTTTTTTTGGTGGTTTTTATCTGGCTGTATATAAAAAAGTGAACATACTAGTTTAATATGTGTAAAATCTTTAGGCATTCTGAATAACATTCCTAAAAGTTCTCAGAGGTTTACATAATATCTAGATGAGCTGATAGGCTTTATAGTAGAGCAAACATACAGGGATACGGTTAAATATTTTGGTCATTTTGGATAAAACTTTAGAATACTGCCTGAAAAATATATAAAGCCATTAATGCATAAAATTTAGTTCATACTTCCTCTTTAATCTTGAGTTAGAACTGCAGATCTTTCCATCTTGGTTTAGGAAAGATCAAATTCTCAAGTAGTCAC